GAATTACCTGTGTTTGGACTCGTAAATAACTACGGGGAAGTTAAATGATAAGCCTTATTTAAAGTTTACAAATTTATTCAATAAATAAAAGTCACAATATGTATTAATTAATATTCAATTACAATAGAATTCAATGGAAGTCGGGAATCACCCAAATTCACAATGAAATACTACACTAACACAACCTTCGTATTACGTCAATACAATAAACGGGGGGGGGCGCACTAAACGAGAATGACCCGAATAGTGAGTAATAAATACTATAGAAATACCTTAGAATAACCAAAAGATTTCTCCCTTAACAAATCTACACAATGTAACAAATTATTTAAAGCAAGAAATTTATCTCAATAATTTCTATATCAAATCCTAGCCTTAATTCCTGCTTAAATATTCCTGTAAACGCAACTAGATTATCACTTTAAATTGATTGAATTCCTAAATTCTATCAAAGATAAACAATTATTTACACGGAAAGACCTCAAGACTCACTTTCAGTCAAACCGTAACAAAATTATTTAATCGTTTAATATCGAGATTAACCCAATATAAACGTCCTACGATAAATACTAGTAATTAATAGTGAAACGAGATTAACCCGTATTCACTATAAGAAAAATTGATGAATTAATTCAAAAATTACTAAATTCCTACTGAAAAACTCTAAGAATCTAATAAAACACCCTCTAACCTCAAAATCTAAATGCCGAGTCCCACCGGCAATTCTTATCCTCTGCTTATATAGCTCTGGAGAGTCCCCCCGGAAACCCACGCGCTTCCCTAGGGACGACCGGCAGATCTCCGGTACCACCGGCAGTCACCGGCAGCCACCGGCAATAATCATTGTCAAATAATGTTTAATAATAACAATAGATAATCGATATAAAAATATGACAATCATAATGTAAAACATTTATACAAAATGACAATATCCCCTAAGTATTAGATTTCGATAAAAATGCTTAGTACAGAGATATTACAATTAGAATCGGGCGTGACATTCCACAAAATAATCATCATGATGGCGGTATCTATAAATAAAGTTACAGAACCAGAAACGATATTTACAACAAATCTAGCGTATTACAATACTGATATTAATCCAGGATAATAAAATTATAATCATAAGATTATGTTCTTCTAGAAACGTAAGTACAGTGAATCAATAATAAGAAATGTAACCGATTATGCGATCAACAAATGGGGGAAAGTACAATGTACAAACAGGGTAACACGAATCCTATATAAAACAATCGGCATCATTGTCACAATTGTGACATTTTCCCCCTCTTAAAACTTTGGTGTCCTCACCAAAATCTTAAGATTAAAAAAAAACCAACAATACATGTCTATATACATTCAATACATTTCTCCATCAATAATAAATTAACATTAAAAAATGTACACTAGACAAAGTCATATAATTTCCTCAGTTTCACAATCCTAACATTACTTCAATTGTTAGAAATTTTTCTTTTAATATACAACGATAAAAACAAAATTACAAAATGCAATATACCTAAACTCCGATCATACTTACACCACATTCTAACTAATTTTCTTTACTGAAGACATCAACGCTTATCTGCTAGCCATTGTCAAAGGTCTTGTACACGAATCTTCCAGCACCATCTTGAATCCGACTCTCTTTTGTGAAAGGTATATTACAGCCATTCATAGAAATGAAACTGTCATTCAAATTGATAACTGCAGGCCCAAATTGACTGTCCAACAAGATGTCCATACCTAAGAGGCATTCATCTTCTATTCCCGCAACAATTATCTCCCTTTGAAATGCTAGATTTCCTAACTGCACTGCAAATTCAGCCTTCCCTAAGACTTTAAGTGGATCTCCATTGACCGCTACAAGGCTTGAAGATTCCTTTAGCTCTGGTCTTTCGTTCCCGGGGAGTCTCCAAAATATTTTGTCGGATAATATAGTTCTTGCAGCCCCTGTGTCTGCCGTGAACTCTACCTTTATCCCTTGAATTGTTCCCTGAACATAAATTCCATCTGCCTTAAGGAACTGTCTCCTAATGTACTCCCTCTGAGCACTCAGTTCCTCTTCCCTTGAAACGTCCCTGACGTAAGGCTGGGATTTCCCCTGGTTTTCAATTTTCTCCCCCGACTCATCTAAATTTCCACTTAAAATAGGTTCAGTTAAAATTTTACAGTCATTTTGGCCTTTGTTACTTTGGGTCGTCTCTTGGCCTCCGGAGCTGACCCCTTCTAGTTTAAAAGTTTCTTCATTCTGTCTCCGCAATCATTATCCAAGTCTACATCCCAACCTGATTGTCGACTTGGTTGAAATTCTGGTGCATCAGGTGACATGGTACTTGTAGCTTGGCTTTGGTTTGTCTTTGGCTGTTCATCTATATTTGGTAGAGATGATGACATGGTATTCTCGGGAGGTTTCCTGTACTGTGATCTCTCTGTCCTGTGAAAATTCCTATTTGGACACTCTCGGGCATAATGTCCGGGCATGTTGCAAATGAAGCAATTCCCCTTTGTCATCTTCACGGAATTTGTATTTCCCTTCCCAGTATAGTGATTGTCTCCCTTTCCGTAAGGCTTAGCCTGTCTAATAGTATGCCTCTCTTCATTGGTGGTTAAATTGGATGTCACTGACATATAAGCAGCTACCTGCTGTACTGCCTCTTCAATTGTTGATGGTTCTTTGTGCAATTCAATGTACTGCCTTGCCTTAGAATCCCATAACCCTTGCAAAAATTTTGAAATTAAGTCTTCCTGTCTGGTGCTGGCATCTCTACTCGGGTGAGCCCAGTCATAAAGACGCTTAATGTCAGCAGCATACTCTTCAAGACTTTCATCTTTTCCTTGCCTTTTGTTGTTGAATTGAGTTTTGTAGACTCTCTTATTCTCCAGTGTTCCAAATCTGGATTCTATTTCTGCGACTAAAGTCTCATAATTCCCTATAGTCTCCTTCTTCAGCTGACCAAAAACAAAATCAGCTGCAATTCCCTGTATTCTTGGTAATATTTGTTGTAACTTCTCTTTAGCAGTCCACTTGGCTAACTTGGCTACAGACTCGAAGCGATTCAGCCAAACTCTCCATTTCTCGGAACCTGTGTAAGGCGGAAGCTTGCAATCAAGCTTGTGGTTATACGACTCAGTGGACTTGAACAAATCTCTAGTGGCTGTTGAGTTGATAGATTGCTCATTTTCAGACTTTTCTGAATCCTCATTTGATTCCTCATGATGGCTTTCTGTGATTCCTGTCTCTGACTTGTTATTATTTGAGTTGATTCTTGATATTTTAGGCTGCAGCTCGCAGTCTGTAGTATGTGTCTGACTGTTCACTTGTCTGAGATTTCGGGTAGTCACTTCCATCATATCCTGCATGACTTTCATTGTCTGGTTGCTTACTTGTCTGAGAGTTTGAGTAGTTGCTTCCATCATATTCTGCATAGCTTTCATTGTCTGGGCCATCTGTTCCATCATTAGCTTCATAGGTTCTGTAACAGAATTATTCTGTGATGACTGTGTGAGTGGTTCTGACAGTTCTGTGTCTGTAGGGATCATCTCCCTTTGCTGACGCACAGTCCTTTTGGACCTTCTTATTTTCCGTATAGGGGTTGATATTCTAGCCTGAGTATCTGAGTCATCTTCATCCTCTGTAGAGTTGTCATTGTTGGACACGCTCTGTTCCCCTCGGAGTGATCTGTTTAACGCTGACGGCGATAAATCTATGAGGAGTTCCTCATCTGTGGATTGTCCTCTGGAATGTCCGGGATTGATGGATGGCTCCATCCTAGTCTTGGATCTAGTATAGTACCTATGCATGGATTTTTCTCAACACTGGTTCTGGGTTACGTATCTCTGGATCCACCGATGTACTTGGCAGATCCCACCGCTGCCACCAAATGTAACGGACCTGAGCTGCTTGGATCTCACGCACAAGTACTTTAGATGCCTACACGGGAATAACCCATGTAGTACTCTGATGATTAACGAGAATAACCCGCAAATAAAGATCTCCTATAATATATAACACAAGAATTACCTGTGTTTGGACTCGTAAATAACTACGGGGAAGTTAAATGATAAGCCTTATTTAAAGTTTACAAATTTATTCAATAAATAAAAGTCACAATATGTATTAATTAATATTCAATTACAATAGAATTCAATGGAAGTCGGGAATCACCCAAATTCACAATGAATTACTACACTAACACAACCTTCGTATTACGTTAATACGATAAAGGGGGGGGGGCGCACTAAACGAGAATGACCCGAATAGTGAGTAATAAATACTATAGAAATACCTTAAAATAACCAAAAGATTTCTCCCTTAACAAATCTACACAATGTAACAAATTATTTAAAGCAAGAAATTTATCTCAATAATTTCTATATCAAATCCTAGCCTTAATTCCTGCTTAAATATTCCTGTAAACGCAACTAGATTATCACTTTAAATTGATTGAATTCCTAAATTCTATCAAAGATAAACAATTATTTACACGGAAAGACCTCAAGACTCACTTTCAGTCAAACCGTAACAAAATTATTTAATCGTTTAATATCGAGATTAACCCAATATAAACGTCCTACGATAAATACTAGTAATTAATAGTGAAACGAGATTAACCCGTATTCACTATAAGAAAAATTGATGAATTAATTCAAAAATTACTAAATTCCTAATGAAAAATGCTAAGAATCAAATAAACAACCGCTAACCTCAAAATCTAAATGCCGAGTCCCACCGGCAATTCTTATCCTCTGCTTATATAGCTTTGGAGAGTCCCCCCGGAGACCCACGCGCTTCCCTAGGGACGACCGGCAGATCTCCGGTACCACCGGCAGTCACCGGTAGCCACCGGCAATAATCATTGTCAAAATATGTTTAACAATAACCATAGATAAACAATATAAAAATATGACAATCATAATATAAAACATTTATACAATATGACAATATCCCCTAAGTATTAGATTTCGATAAAAAAAAATGCTTAGTACAGAGAAATTACAATAGACCCTATCAAGGTTATTGGCCGCCATCTTGGACTGGGGGCAAACATTGGGGGCTGACGTCACAAAAACAATGGCCGACGCGAGGCGAAGCGAGAACGGATCAGCAAAATAAACCGCCGCGTGTTGTTTATCTTCGATGTAACAACTGTAAATAACTATGCACAAAAGACTCTCAGGTAATGAAATTTATATATTTCAGCTTGAATAGTACTTAAATGGATTATTTTTTGCAATTTTTGTCTTTTTATTCGAGGACGCCAAAAGCACGTGGTCGGTAAATGCTCATTGTGAACCATGGGTATAGTTCATGTTTTGGGCTGTATTTAATAAATACGGCACCTCAGAACATTGAGCTTTTTCTGAGCTAGAGTTTAGTTGTTTTGAAATCGGAGAAATGTTAAATCTAGGCTCATACCCCCAAAATCGAATATATTGAGCACTTCTAAAATGGTGATATGACCCAGCGAGGTGCACTTTTCAAGCCCAATAGGGAATGAGCATCATGTGAAACACATAGTGTACAAAAAATTGATATATTCAATTTTTTGTAATTGATTTTAATAAAAACATATACATAATCCGATTTCTTTGTAAACAAGTACATTTTTACTTGTTTATTTAATGTAAACTATGTTCATATTTCACACTTTCAGCAAGTTAACATTGAGAGCAAGTCATACCAGTATCAGAGAGCCAAGAGCCGTAAATACAAAGGCCTATACATAAAGAAAGAATGCCTTAAAAGGTAATATTTATGCTAAAGAAAGCAAAAGATTAGAAAACATTCATGATTATTATTTACATAAATATGAATAATGTTGTAGGCCATTGTATTTAAATAGAAGCTAGCTTATACACAAGAGGTTTGGTTACACACATAATAAACATAGAATCATTCCATACTCATTCAGAAATACTCTCAGTCGTGCATTACGCTGAGAGAAAAAACAAGCCCTGACTACTTGACCAACTTTGTAAGTGTTGCAAAACTTGCAATATTATAAATTTATAGCATATGTACTATTGATTCAAATTATGTAAATATGTGAAGGAATGTCAATCAAAATGGAAGACTCTTAGAAATTATATATTAGCCATGCTACTTTAAGAAATTTCGCACATATAATATCACAAAATAATGTGTAATCATGCAGTTATCCTGTAATTAGTATTTTAAAGTGTCATCACAGATTAGGTCAGGTGCAGACACTGTTGTCTTTAGTTCAGCATTGACCCAAAAAGTTAGTAGTCACAGTTCACTAATATGTACAACAACAATGCGCAATATATCTATTATTGTGTTGTTATTGAAAACTGTCCTTTCAGTTTCAAAACACAAAATAAAGTAGTTTATATTACAAACAGATTCTGAAGCATAAATTCTTCCATGTACATTTCTTGTACATATAAACAAAGTAAACTTCTTTGAAGGAAATGAAAGGATTAGTATGCTACAAAAACATGCACACATTAGAAAACAAGTGCACATAAAAACATAAAACATAGTGATATACCCTACTGAGGTCTAATTACTTATCTGAGAGGAATGAAAAGTCTCGTCAAAGCATTTATTCATAAGCAAGCAAAAAAAAATGTACAGTTTGTTATTGCTTTTATATAAAGCAGCAATGCTAACTGTCAAAGGTGAAAGGTGGCAAATGTTCAAAGTCTTAATCAAATCAATATACTGGAAAGATGCTTGTTTTAGGTCCTCTTAAAAAAAATGTTTGCCCTCCTCAAACTTAGCATTAAGAAAATGGGTAGGTAACTTAAGTTAAGGATATAAATTATTTGGAAAATTTGTTCTAAAAACACTTCCAAATATGAAGTTAAAACATTGGGTTAAAAAAAACAGAATTTTAAAAAAAAAAGTTCCTTTAGAAAAGAGGGCAAATATATTTTTTTTAAAGATGACCTTTCCACCATGCCCATACACTTAAAATTCATGATGTCATATATGACCTTGACTTCATGACCTTGACAAAGGGATAACTGTACAATTTATTTGTTAAGATGACCTTACCTTAAACTTTAATATATGACCTTGACTACATGACCTTGACAAAGGGACAACTTTGTTCAGTTTGTTTTAACAGAGACCTTTCATACACATAAAGTTAATGCTTTAATCAATGTATAACCTTGACTTTATGACCTTGACAAAGGGAGCACTTTGTAAGTCTTAAAGTTCTTTAAAGAAGTCGTTGGTTGCATGTAAACACAAATCAATATTTTATTGTAGTTTTCCACAAGACATCGCTGTATTTATTAATGACAGCCAACAAACTGTAACTAGACAGTGGCCTAGGGCAAATGCCCATCTACCATTGCCAATCTGCTACTGGACTGACTTTCTGCCAGTTACAGCTGTTGACCAGGTATGTACAAAAAACTGATAATTTAAATCAATGTAACTTTTAAAACTTAAAATGGCAAATAATAGCCATCATTAAAAGTTTGTCAATTATCTCTTACACAAATATTCCCGAACCAATAATTTTATTTTGCTTTTAGATAGCCGACAAACTGTAACTAAACAGTGGCCTAGGGCAAATGCCCATCTACCATTGCCAATCTGCTACTGGACTGACTTTCTGCCAGTTACAGCTGTCGACCAGGTATGTCCAAAAAAACTGATAATTTAAATCAATGTAATTTTTAAAACTTAAAATAGCAAATAATAGCCATCATAAAAAGTTTGTTAATTATCTCTTACACAAATATTCCCGACCCAATAATTTTATTTTGCTTTTAGATAGCCGACAAACTGCAACAAGACATTGGCTAGGGCAAAGCTGGAAACACCCATCTGCCATTGCCAGCCTACTACTGGACTGACATTATGCCAGTTACAGCTGTCGACCAGGTATGTCAAAAAAATTGATAATTTAATCCCAATTTTAAAACAAAATGGTAATTTAAAAATCATGATTCTTTACCAATTTGTAATTTACATGCAACCTTGAAATAATGACCCAACAGATCTGCATTTTTGAAGTGCAAATGATATCTTAGAAAACTGCAAAGTATGGAAAATAGAAAAGCTTTACACATCTGTGCAAGTTTGGTAGAATTTTCTATGCAAATTGTTAAATTGCGTAAATCTTATGCAAAATGGTTGCTTATGGTAAATCCATACAAGCTGGCTAAATGCAAGACAGGGTTGTAAGCTAGTTGTATGTCCATACACCATGCAAGTTAGATATATGTAACAAGTACTGTTATATTGATATGCAAGTGGTTACTGATATGCAAGTGGTTACTGATGTCACTGATGCTTACTAAGGGGAGGGGAGGGGGTGGAGGGTGGGGAGAGTGCAGTACAAGTAGTGAAGATAGAAAGTCTCATATAATGCAAGAAATCAGAAAATATTATAAGGCAAAGATTAATGAAAATCATTGCCAGAAATGAATCAAATGATTCATATTTATTCAATATGAAATTACATTCAGCAGGAGTTGAACTTTAATATGAAATGTAATACATGTGCTAATAAGATAGTATCAATATATTATTGATTTTTTTATTCAACAAGGGGGTCCAGAAGGTTGCAAAGTGCACAGCATGAAATAACAATATCATCAACAATGGGAAGACATGAAATCGGAAATTCATTTTTCAAAAATCTGTATGTTTTAAGTCTGCCAATAGCTTGTTCAACATAAATTCTTACATTTGCAATTTTTGAAGTTTCTGATACATCTGATGCTTGCATCTGCAATTTTCCAGTTGTACTGGGTGGAATAGCAAGTTTAGCCATCAACATCATAAGATCCTCCTTAATTTTGAAACCCCTGTCAGCCATAACTTGATCATAGGGTTCTATAAGATTGTAAAAATGACTGTCTTTTACAATAAACTGGTCACTTGCTCTTCCTCCATAAACGGAAGAAACATATGAAAACATACCATTTGGTGTAATTGCAACAAGAAATTTTACTGTACAGTGTTGCTTATAATCGGACCAGCATTTAGCTTGAACTTCTAAACTTGATGGTGTTTCTAACAAAACTTCTGTGCAGTCTATTATGCATCGTACATTTGGGTAAAACCTTCTGAAGCATTCAGGTAATGCACTTTTGATTGTGTGTTTTGTAGGCCATATGATGAGTTTTCCCAGTTCTAGACGAAGTAAGCGAGTCCAAGTAAAAAAAATGCTGCTGACAGTTGCATCAGAAATGTTGAATCTAAATGCAAGGTCATGAACTAAAAGACCAAGTCTTAATCTCATCAATACCAGCAACAACTCAAGCTCTAGAGATAGTTTTCTTCTTGGACCAGGGCGTTTGAAGGTAAGACCTTGATCATATCTGGAAGGCATTTCACAGGTAGTCTGTTTTTCGCCTCTCCAGTACTGCATGCACTTGGCTTTTGAGCTGAGTAAGTTGAATAATGTCTGAAAAACTAGAGTAGTAGACAGACCTGTAAAGAAATTAACATCTGAATCTCTAGTAATTTGAGTAGACTGAAAGCAAAGAATAAATTCTGATTCATTTGAACATTCTGCATGATCTGCTGTGTCATTTTCCGACGTACTTTGCAGAGTGCAATTAGTTTCACAATCTACTATGACCTTTTTATTATTGTGTCTTTTAATTTCTCTTCTCTTTGTAGGAGTTGTCCCACTGATGGCATCAGACAAGGTTAAAAACAAAGTGGGATAGGGATTCTCACTGGTGGGCATACCATCTGAAAAGTGGTTTGAACATACACGTATGCCATTGCCTGGAATATAATCCTGACGACCTTTTAATATTTGAGAATTCCATTTTTTCCTCATAATTTCATCAGATGGAAGTTTATGAAATTTAAGAGTATGAACATGTGATTTGATATCATAATTTTGGGGATATCTCCTGTCATTGTTGCAAGGACCAACTGCACACCTATCACCTCCTCCCATGTTTGTTTAGTTGAATATTAATTATATATAAAGATGAAATTTGACCCTCTGATACTAGCAGACTTAACTAGGACATGATTTTTTTTTATTGAGATACATGTATATATAAATAGAAGTTTATAAACTAAATCAAGTTGAAGGAAGGGTACAGTGATCTGCAAGGGAAAAAACATTTTTAATACGATTTAACTACTCAGTATTTAAAGAAGTAAAAAATATACCTAGACTAGGCACAGTAAAGCATGTACAATGTACTCTATTTGTATAGATGATAATTTAATGATGTTTTAACTTCAATTCTGTAAAGCACTCTGTCTTATGAAGCACATGCATTACAAGTCCATATTTCAGCAGTGGGTTCTGTTTTGACCCCTACACATTTCCAATGAAACCAAAGGTCACAGTTATCACAACAAATGCTGTGATCTCCACACTCGATGATTTCATCGCCATCTAAGCAAAGTTTGTTGCATAGTGGACAAAATGTCAAATTTTTTGTGCCCAAAAGATAAGGGACAATGTAAATTTTGAAGAAAAGGGATGCTTTTTGTACTATTTCCATCCAAATCTTTTTGTCTAATTTTACTTTTAGAATTAGTGTGTCTTTAGCTGACCACACCACAAAGAAAGCTTGCTGCAGACCAGTGACACCAAGTTGTGCTTGAATCTGGTAGTAATATTTGTGTGAAGATTTCAAAGCCAGATTTCCTTCTTGTTGTTCAAGGAAATCTGTCAAATGCCAACCTTCTTGCACAGATACATTGTTAGTGTTAAGAACGTAGGGGCATTTGATTTCGAGGACAGACACTCCACAACAGTTACACTGAATGATGCCGTCGGGACTGGCTGCCAAAAATGGCATGTCAGGTTTTATATATAAACCTGCTTTTCTGATGGAAAAACCGGAGTGCTTTAGGGACTCAAGCTTTAAAAAATCTACTCTAGCTGTATCCTCCTTTTCTATTCCATACTTAACAGCTGGAAGAAAAGAGATGTCATCTCCACCATGCAATATATTTTTCACAAGGGGGGTAATTTTGACCTTGGAGCTTCCTTTTTTTGATAGTGTAGAAAATTTTGTACACACTGTTAGGGTACTAGAAGCAGTTATCCTCCCTTTTCTTTGGGTATGCCATAGTGGACATTTGGCCTGATCTCTAGTGGCCTGCTCAACAAGGACAACCTGTTCATTTGAAAGGGGCAAGCCTTCAATGAACTTTTCTGCGGAATCTGTATAATTGGTTCCAATATCAATTAATGATTGGGGCATTACAGGCTTCTGACTGTTTGATGTAATAGCCTTAAATACAACTGACCTTGGAGTAACACTATACAGCTTACTAAACATATTGTTTACTTCTTCTTCTGTGACCTTCCTGTGATCCATCCGTCTTGGATCAAATGAGGTTTTCATCTCGGAAATAATAGATTTCTGACCTTGATCTTCTGTAGTTTTGACCCTGTTGTCTTTCCTGACATTCATATCAGTGACCTTGGATGGTTGGACATTACGTTTAGTAGATGCATTCCAGTTGTTGGCATATTCTACCTTATAAAGTGTAGCTATTACATGGTTACACGTTTCTGCCATACCTGCTATACAGCTACACCAACTTGTCAAAATTTGTTCCTCTTGAATATCAAATGCTATCCAAACTTCTCTTGGATCATTATTTATACTTTGTGATGGAGTAACCATTGATCGAAGAATTTTGATGTTTTGAAAGTTGTATGTTAATATTTCATCAACAAACCCAGACTTCCAGTAGGAGAATGCTTTATGGGTTTTGTATTTACCCACAAAGTCAATGTCAAATTCTTTTTTCTCTAAAATAAAAGAAAAAATGTTGCCTAGATCTAGTTTTGGCAAAGATTTGACATCTGACTGCCACTTTGACAGTGGAATTGACCTTGGATCTTCAGGTATTTTGTATTTCTGAAGTTTTTCAATATAGTGGCTCTGAAGATTTTTTTGAAGCTCTTTTTCAGAAACTTTAGGGGACACCTTCTGCTCCCATGCAACAAATGCCCTTGAGACGAGTTCGTTTTTAACTCCTGACACCTTTAAACCTCTAATATTGAGGTAGTCTTTTAACTGACCAATAGTCATGGAGGAAAATTCCTCAAACATGCTATCCATTGACATACTGATTTTTGTAAGATTTTCAAAACATTTTTGGTTATGAAAACTATGTGCTTTTGAATAACAAAATATTAAAAATTCCCTTGCTCACTGATACTGGTTGTAATTTTAATATTACATTAAAACAATGAAATATAACAAGTTACATTGTACATGTGATCATATTTTTTGGGCTTATGTCCATATTTATTTCAGTCTGGAAAGAAATGAAGTTGATACATTATTTAAATAAAATTGTTTACATTTTTAGAATGATGAACTTGTTTAATTTATATCATAAGTTAGTTATTTTCTCATTGTACATGTTTGTGATAATACTTTTAAAAAATTGGTCATTAAAATATAAAACTAGAATATTTCTGCATTTTTTTCATTTTCAATTTTAATTACATGTATTTTGAGTTCTCTTACATTAAGAGTAGTACATGTAACACTGTCCACTGGATTGTGGCATCAGGCAGGGCATCTTCGGAAAGCTGTATAATTTATTTCATATAAATTTAGTTATTTTCTCATGGTACATTTTTGTATTTATACTTTTAAAAATCTGTCATTAAAATAAAAAAAAATTGAATATCTCTGAATTTTTAAAAATTTTCAATCTTAATATTACAGGCATGTTGAGTACTCTTACATAAAGTATAGTAACACTGTCCACTGCAAAGTAGCATCAGCAGGACTTCTTTAGAAAACTGTAGAAAAACATCATGCATTACAGTAGTTGCACAGACCTGTGTCAGTACAGATGTACTGTTTATAGGAATTTCTATTCAAATAATAAACTACTGATTAAATATTCTGTGGAATTTCTGTGCCAGTATTTATAATTACAAGGAGAGAAAACCCATACATTCAAATATAAGCATGGTTATTATTCTTTACAGAGTGTATATTTCACTATCGCTAAAAAGGCCCCGCCCCCTTTGCATTTGCTGCTACAACATACGCGGAACTTGTACTTCATAAAGAAGGAAAATGTATCTATTGATATTATTCTCGTGAGAAATCACTTCACACACGTTTCTTAATGTTTTTTTCATTGAACAAAAGTTATAATTACCCAACACAAGACACTCTACTCGATATCTATAGATGCCAGCCAAATATTCCCGCCTTGCGCAGCGCGTCACTTGTGTACACTAACAACATGTTACTTCATTAATATTCTATGACATTTTAAAAAATATTGTTATTTCCTGTTATATTTTTATCCAAGCAACACTTTTTAAGTATAATTTTATTTTTTAAAAATAAAATACTTCTTGAAACACCTTCGCATTTATTGATGACGTTACAACATTATGACAAGCTTGAGCCGCTTAAGTACACTGGCACTCCTGCCTGCGGATTAGTGTTGGAGAAACTTCAAGAAATTTCTGCAAGTGAGGATGTTTAGTATATTGAAATGTACTTTTTCATAGCACTTTTATAATAACTGAAATGAAAATATTGAGTGCAAAAATCGCGATATAACATGACGTGATGACCGCATACAGCTTATATGGCATATACAGTGTTGTGTAACAAGCATGCTGAAAAACATCATTTTTTAATGTCAGGAAGTTATTTTATTGGTTAAACACATATCATTGTCATTAAAAATAGTTTTTGCACAAATCCCCAATGTGGATTCGTGTGACATTGACCAGAAAGCCTCCAGTAGACGGAAACATTTCGGCAAGTAATTTCATCAACCGCACATTGTTTACAATGACGACAGCGCGTGATGCCCCCAATCCAAGATGGCGGCCATTAACCTTGAAAGGGTCTATTAGAATCGGGTGTGATATTCCACAAAATAATCATCATGATGGCGGTATCTATAAATAAAGTTACAGAGTGAGAAACGATATTTACAACAAATCTAGCGTTTTACAACACTGATATTAATCCAGGATAATAAAATTATAATCATAAGATTATGTTCTTCTAGAAACGTAAGTACAGTGAATCAATAATAAGAAATGTAACCGATTATGCGATCAACAAATGGGGGAAAGTACAATGTACAAACAGGGTAACACGAATCCTATATAAAACAATCGGCATCATTGTCACAATTGTGACATGTAATAAATATAGGACCCCACGTGATTTGTGGTTGAATATGATTTTTATCCAATAAATTGTGTGTTTTATATCCTCGATTGTGTGTTTTATCAATATAACTACAAATCATGTTTTGATATATATGCAGCATTATCAATCTTTACTGTTTAAACTGTTTTGATAAAGGACTCAACTTCGTTTTACTTCATTACTCTACCACAAAACCTATTGTGACGTCACAACTGTGGGATATCAAAAAATATCCCTGATTAATATACATGGAATAAAGGGGAAAACATGGGATAAAAAACGCATCATCGATTTATTAATTCATGAAAAGATAAAAAAAATTCTTAAATATTCTGATCCCCTATTGTGACGTCAGTTTAGCTTAAAGGTTACATTTTAAAAACTTATTTACATTTACACTTTGTTCAAAAGTTTTTGTATATATGTTTCATCTTTTTCTTATCAATCATTTTTTTTGGCCACAGGTACAATTTAGAAATGGGTGTCGAAAGTGCCCTGAAATTGCAGATCAATACTTTTCTTTTCAAACTTCACTTCGAGTGTGTTTTCCTTTTGCTTTATTGGCATGGCTTCTTCAGATGCTAACATTAAGAACACAGGATTGGGTACAAACACAGAGCAGCACCATAGGATTGTGGAAATACTGCAGTTATTCCAATTCCGATTTTACCTGTTGTCAGAACATAGAGAGCTTCTTAGCTAAGTCTTATATTATCCTAAGAGTTCCGGGCTAGCATATTTCTTTTCTGTTCACCTCGGAGAATTCAAGATTACTATATATATTCTACGTCAGTATCCTTGTTAAAAGTCTTCATGCAAGTCCATTTTTAGACGCATTTTTTTTATCCCTGCGTGCATTGGCAAAACTTTTTACTTGGTACATTTTCTAAAACGAGGATCAGGTTAGAAAGCATGATGCAGGCCCCTTTCAAAATAAGTACAAATG